CTTTTGTTATTATTGCCTTTTTATTTTATTATTTTACTTTGATTTTGATTTTGTTATTTTTTTAATTCCGCCCTACATACATCTGACCCGATGCCTATGTTATGAGATCTCAACAAGACCCACTATCAACGATTTTAGTCAACGAATCACAGACCTCCTTTTATTGCGCACATTATGACGTCACCGGGCAGAGTCAGGTGGCAAACACACTCAAATAAAATGGCAGATTATACCGACGTCTTTTTCCAGTCGCTTGTCCTGGAGACGGGTGATGTTTTGTTGACAATCGGGCCAACATCATCTACGGTATTGAAGCCGTAGCTGTAAATAATCATCAAATTGTATCAACATTTTGTACATTATACAATAACTCTTTATTAAGGATGCGGTAGAGTTATCATGCTCTAAAAAGTAAAAACTGTTTTCATGGGGAAAAGTGTTTTGAAGCATAGCAAATTATATATTTTCTTGAAGCCCTTGTTCCTGGCTTTTTGAAAAAAATGATCTGCGACATGTACCACGAATTAGTCACGTGATTACTAAGTAAACATAGAGGTGTTATTTTGAATAAAAATGAGTTTTGTATAAAAACCGTAGGAGGAGTTATCAAAAAATGCTTCAAGGGTTTTATTCTGTGCCAATACGTTATCAATGTGTGTGAATTTCATGAAAGTAGGTCAATTTCTGACGACGCACAACTCACTTGAATGACCTCTATGGCGTAAGATTTCTTCTGTCTGAAAACGCCCAAAAACAAAACATTTGTCACATTGTGCTAATTTTGGACATTTAAAGCATCAGATTAACCGATTTTTACAACAAAACACATATCATGGAGTCACTTAATAGCCTTGCAGTATTAAAATCTAAAACTATAAAGTGTTGGGCTCGTATTCCTCCAAAAAGAAGCGAAGTTGTTACAGTACACAGCGGCCCGGCATAACGTTGAACAGTTAGAGAGATAAATGACGTCATCTCATTATATATTTAAATCATGTTTACTCACAAAGCGTGGTCTGTATAACAAACGCTTGCCTAGTAACCGGAGAAAGAGGTCGACATGCCTAAACGCCAACCCCTAGTGCTAGTTAACTCAACAACATCCGACGTTATGTCTTGTTCTAGCTGACACTCGGCTTCCACCACAACTTCGGAAACAGCGTTCTTGTACAGACCTTTGTGGATGGGTGGCCCGGCGGCAATCCCACATAAGACACTAGTTTTTTCAAACCTCGCCGACCTCTCACAACTGCTCGTCCGACCAATACAGATTTTCAGTTGATATTAAATTGTCTGCCCGACTTTTTGGAAGATGGAAATTGATCATGTTTTGCTGACGAAATTTTACCTTCTTGGTTTGAATACTCAAACTTGAAGTGTGAACCCCATTGTACTGTTGGCAATGCGCTTCTGTAGGTAAAGTTTCGCTTCTTCTAAACTGCGTTTTGAGTTTTTCCTTGGGGGCCTCTTTTTTGTGTCATAATAAATCTTCGAAACAACAAAAAAGATGTAGCAGTCGTAGTAGAACTAGAGATTTCGTTTCGGTTTGTTCGCAGTGATTGATCAGGAGCCGGAGTAGCCCTGAGTACAGTCCTGTAGGTTGGACTCCTTCCGCTGATCATTCGGCCCCACAGTCCTGAGAAGTCGCATAGACCGAGGATTCGACATTGTTGTGAAGGAATGCATCGGGCGATTTAAGAGGCATTCAGCTTTGCAGTTAAAAATTAAGCAGGTCGATACTACGCAAAATTACATAAGAGTTCCCCCTAGGGTCGATCAAATCGGCATTTTCCAACGTCAACCAAAAATATACGCTGCCATCTTGTTCTTTATTTATTAACAAAACGTTGTTTTCGTTGCGTAAAACTAGCTTTCGCCAACGTTCCAGACTTGTAGGTTCATTTTTCGGCCACAAAAAAAGTATTTGTGATCGCTAGATTGGTCGATAGATGTTTTAGCTGGTTACAATCATGAAAACTGCAGAACGGTTTTCTGCCATAAATTTGTAGGTGGGTGTTGAATCCTCGGTCTATGCAACTTCTCAGGACTATGGGGGCCGAAGGATCAGCGGAAGAAGGCCAAACTACAGGACTGTACTCAGGGCTAAAGCCATAGTTGATATGACCGCGTCGTCTTCAGTGTGCACTGTTTCCGTTGTGAAAGGATTATGCAAATTACGCAATAAGTCAATGTTATTGTTTGCGTCCAGCCTTTTATCTCAAAAACAAAGTGTACAGTACCCCGTTATACAAGTAGTTTTTCTTATTTTTAAAAAAAAAGGTATTCTAGATGTGTTTCAGTTTAATTTTTGATAAAATTATGAGTCCAATAACTTTACAAAAGTAATAACTCTTCATTAACAAAAAAAAAGCAAAATTCACGAAAATAACTCTACCACATCCTTAAAGTAATTGAGCCGATTTGGACTGGAATAAAATATTTTTTATTTGGAACACATCGCAATTGATCAGGAAATATTTGTTTGCTCCAATTTTCTGCGTCTATGCCGTGGGCCGGTAGCCGTTATAAAATTTAAAATCAGTTTGCATTGTTTACTATAGCTGTTTACAGTGTTCTAATCATTACGATTTACTTATTTTTTGCTTCCAGATAATTATGCTCAGTGTTTGGTTGAAGCGATGACTGAATAAACAAACCTTGGCTGGCGAAGATGTATCAGGAAGTGTACACATTTGTTGGAAGTGAAAAAAATATTCAATGTAATGACAAAAATTGTAAAATGCTGTGGAATTTCTTTTGTAAATAAATAAAAATATACTAGCAATTTTCTATTAATTGTTTATTCATGTGGGCAAAATATCGTGTACAGAAAGATTGCCCATAGAGTATCACTACACTGAAAAGTAAGCAACCGACAGCCTGTATAAAAAGGGGGCTGTGATTGGCTGTTAGTTACGCGAGATTTGAACGGGACTTACATAGGCGTCGGATCAGATGTATGTAGGGCGGAATTAAAAAAAATCACAAAATCCAAATCAAAGTAAAATAAAAAAGCATTAATAGTAACAAATATAATAAAAAATAAAATTAAAATAAGTTTATAGCCAAAATAATTAAAGCCCATACACTACATCAGATTTTAATCAGATTGGTGTAAAACATGTTTGCAAGACTCTTTTGGCAGAATAAATGACTCCAATGTGACTTACAGATTCATTGAGTGTGATAAGTTGCAATGCATCCATACTCCATACAATGTTTATCACTGGATCACCAGATGTACCTTCATTGTGGATGAGTCTGATAACACGGGGTGGATCATACCATAAATCATATACAAATATATCACCTATGAAATAAACATTGAATGCATGATTACTGTATTTGCTCTATTAGTATCACATGTGCTTACCTAAGTACAAGTCACTATACAAACAACCTGCTTTACAATAAATGCAATTTTTGGGTTATGTGTAATTCTATTAGTACAAATACGGTATGTATACTCCTTCCAAAAAGAGGAAAATAAAGAAAGGTTATCATAGCCAGAGATGTTTCTCATCAGAGTTGAGTTCAGAATTTATTTTATGAGGCATTATTTCTCGTAATCTTATCTTTTTACATCCTCAAATATCCAATTTCCTATCAGTTTATAGCAATATATATACAAATGAATAGACTTTTGATTTACTGTATACATGTAGAAGCAAAGAGTTGACATTGTGTACATGTACCATAATCCTTGGCACTTGCTTGCACTTTCACACCAGCTGTGATGCCGTTAATATTAGGCGTCTCAAACTGTAGTCTGATATATACAAGCAGCCTCTCGACTGAGAAGCTCTGCTGTTAGAAACGCACATTTAAATTGAAGAACAAATCTGAGAGAGGTTCACCTGTATGTATAATATCAACGCAATCAGTCTTGTGGTTTTCAACATAAAGTCGAAAATATCACTTTTTACCAAAAATGACAAAAATAATTATCAAAATTAGAGAATTGAAGATATCATCATGAAATGAACAAATCTGAGAGAGGTCTACCTATATTTCCTATGTATAATATCAAAGCAATCAGACTTGCGGTTTTCAACAAGAAGTTAAAAATATCACTTTTTACCAAAAATACAAAGATAATAATCAAAATTAGAGAATTAAAGATATCATCATGAAATGAACAAATCTGAGAGAGGTCAACAGCGGAGCTAATAATTTATAACATAAACTAACTATAGAAACTCTTTTCCATTAAAAATATTGATTAAATAGCAAAGGTGAGTATAAAGTCCTGAAATGATGCAATAATATATGAAAATATTTTGTGGTGTATGAAATTTAGGTGGGAACAATTCTGATCAAAAAATGGGCAAGAACAATGAAGTCGTCATAATTACATTAGAAAAATTAATTAATATTCATGTTTCTCAAATAATACTAATAATAATGTACTTTAACATATCGTTGATTACACTTATCCAATTGACAGATCTTAGAAAGCATTTACTAACATCTGGTTCTTATTATCAGCACTATAAATGTCTTCACTCTGTTCACTTATTTTTTTTTTTTACCTCTAACAAATATTTAATTTCAGAAAATATTATATTGCACCAAAATCAAACTTGGCCAAGATCCCAAACTAATCCCAAACTAATCCCAAACTAATCCCAAACAAAGTTAGATAAAAATTGTTTGAGTTTTAACCACATGAGATAGTGTTATGACAAAATCAATGACAACAAAAAGGACATTTTTCCCGATATACCTTGACCTTTATCTATGATGATACAGATAAGGTGAAAATTGTATCAAAATAAACAGTCAACTGCGTACATGCCAACCAGTCACTGTGCACGTCCATTCAAAATGGAAACAAGTGTGATGACCAATAGATGACATCACCTACCATGTACACTGCCAACAACAGATATCAACTACAACATACACTGCCTGGAATACACTGCCTGATAACAGATGACATTACCTGCCATATACCCATCTAAAACAATAGATATCACCTACAATATACCCCATATATTTAACAATAGTTATCACCTACAATATACCCCATCTATATAACAATAGATATCACCTACAATATACCCCATCTATATAACAATAGATATCACCTACAATATACCCCATCTATAACAATAGATATCACCTAACATATACTCCATCTATAACAATATATGATATCACCTACCATATACCCCATCTATAACAATATATATTACCTACCATATACCCCATCTACAACAATATATGATATCACCTGCCATATACCCCATCTATAACAATAGATATTACCTACCATATACCCCATCTATAACAATATATGATATCACCTATCATATACCCCATCTATAACAATATATGATATCTCCTGCCATATACCCCATCTATAACAATATATGATATCACCTGTCATATACCCCCATCTATAACAATATATATCACCTGTCATATACCCCCATCTATAACAATATATGATATCACCTACCATATACCCCCATCTATATAACAATAGATATCACCTACAATATACCCCATCTATATAACAATAGATATCACCTACAATATACCCCATCTATATAACAATAGATATCACCTACAATATACCCCATCTATATAACAATAGATATCACCTAAAATATACCCCTTCTCTATAACAATAGATATCACCTACAATATACCCCATCTATATAACAATAGATATCACCTAAAATATACCCCTTCTATATAACAATAGATATCACCTACAATATACCCCATCTATATAACAATAGATATCACCTACAATATACCCCATCTATAACAATAGATATCACCTAACATATACTCCATCTATAACAATATATGATATCACCTACCATATACCCCATCTATAACAAAAATATATCAGTCATATACCCCCATCTATAACACTATATGATATCACCTACCATATACCCCTATCTATAACAATATATATCCCCTACCATATACCCCATCTATAACAATATATGATATCATCTACCATATACCCCATCTACAACAATATATGATATCACCTGTCATATACCCCATCTATAACAATATATATCTCCTGCCATATACCCCCATCTATAACAATATATGATATCTCCTGCCACATACCCCCATCTATAACAATATATGATATCACCTGTCATATACCCCCATCTATAACAATATATGATATCACCTACCATATGCCTCCATCTATAACAATATATATCCCCTACCATATACCCCATCTATAACAATATATGATATCATCTACCATATACCCCATCTACAACAATATATGATATCACCTGTCATATACCCCATCTATAACAATATATGATATCTCCTGCCATATACCCCATCCATAACAATATATGATATCACCTGTCATATACCCCCATCTATAACAATATATATCACCTGTCATATACCCTCATCTATAACAATATATGATATCACCTGCCATATACCCCCATCTATAACAATATCTATCACCTACCATAGACCCCATATATAACAATATATGATATCACCTGTCATATACCCCCATCCATAACAATATATATCACCTGTCATATACCCCCATCTATAACAATATCTATCACCTACCATATACCCCATATATAACAGTATATATCACCTCCCATATATACCATCTATAACAATATATGATATCAGCTAACATATACCCTCATCTATAACAATAGATGATGTCAGCTAACATATACCCCATCTATAACAATATATGATATCAGCTAACATATACCCTCAACTATAACAATAGATGATATCAGCTAACATATACCCCATCTATAACAATAGATGATATCAGCTAACATATACCCCATGTATAACAATAGATGATATCACCTACCATGTACACTACCAAGTGCCAACAGACGATGGTTTGGTGACAAAGCTGTGCTTTCCACTCCTTCAATTTTACGGCTTACTCGAATATCACTTGGTACAGTGTACATTTCCTATAATAAAAGAAAGAGAATATACTCAGACTACTACTGAACAGACTGGCAACACATCATTGTCTTTCATCTAATGCATGCCATGTATGTCCAGTAAAAATCTGGATTAAATATGCACAATCTTTTCCTTGTATGGCAAAAGTGTGTATAAAAGTCATGCAATAATACTCCCGGTATATTCAAACATTTTGTGTAAAACATACTGGCTAAAATTTGGGTATAAACAATTCTGACCAAAAACCAAAGTCATGAATAAACCTCTAAAATTGTAGGATGTGAAAGGTGAGCAGACATACTTACTTGCCAGTACAGAGCCTCTTGCTGTCTGTACAATTGGAAAGCACTGGATAAAGAACTATTGGGTCGTAGATGGTAAGGTGCAATGTCATGAAACTGTAATATTTTGACATCAGGACCATCTTTCTGCTCTCTGAAAATACAAACAATTACCTCTAGATAAATGAAGGTTGTCTGAAAGATTAATCTGTATGTATATGTGACTTGTTTAATTATTTCAATCCAAAATGTCTCCATCAATATTTTAGCTGAATTTTTAACTATTGCTTTACCAGTAAAACCTCATAGACATGCGTCAACAATGACAATGACTCAAAATAGTATCCCTTGTAACTCTTTCTACTTACACTTCAGATGTGGGAGGTGATGGTTCTTGCTGTTGAGGGGGTGGTTGTTGTGACGGCTTCTGTTGTTGTTGAATGGGTTGTGATGGTTCAGCCACTTTCTTTCCTAGATAATGCAGAGATTGTGTATGTGCCCATATGTCTTTTCTGGTACAATAAATTAAAAGAATTAATTAGTTACTGAAAATTAAAAACAATTTAGCTGGTAGTAGGGTAATGAACAATAAAGTTGTCTAGGTTTGTAATCAATAAGATCCTAAAAATGTTACTATTTACCTTTTTTCATCTCTTTCTTTGCGATAACTCCCATGAGTTTTTGTAATCATATGATAGGCCGGATCACTGGTATTCCTACCCTTAGGGTCACCAATTGCAATAGACTAGATAGGAATAAAATAGATGAATAGCTCTTCCTACATGTAATCATATGATAGGCCGGATCACTGGTATTCCTACCCTTAGGGTCACCAATTGCAATAGACTAGATAGGAATAAAATAGATGAATAGCTCTTCCTACATGTAATCATATGATAGGCCGGATCACTGGTATTCCTACCCTTAGGGTCACCAATTGCAATAGACTAGATAGGAATAAAATAGATGAATAGCTCTTCCTACATGTAATCATATCATAGGCCGGATGACTGGTATTCCTACCCTTAGGGTCACCAATTGCAATAGACTAGATAGGAATAAAATAGATGAATAGCTCTTCCTACATGTAATCATATGATAGGCCGGATCACTGGTATTCCTACCCTTAGGGTCACCAATTGCAATAGACTAGATAGGAATAAAATAGATGAATAGCTCTTCCTACATGTATATTCTTGTAGTAAAAGGTAAAAATAGCATACTCCCTGTCCTGTTTTTAGTGACTGTCTCAATTACAAATAATGGAATGTGATCATCAAACAATAAATCACAGAAAATGAAACATCCACAAGTTGACTATTTAAAGTTATGTGCCTCATGGAGGGTCCATAATGTGCAATGTATGTACCAGGTTTGAACAAAATCCATGCATTCATGATCTGGTTCCAGAATGGCAGAATGATTGATTTCTAGCACTAACAAAATCGATCTAAGCAGAGAAATGATGTCAGACAGGCAAACAGATACTACATCATGATACTACTTTTACAGCAATGTGAATGAATGTCCTAATTATATACTTACCTCAGCTGTATTAACTGTTAAATGATCAGCCATTTTCCTGGCCATTCTCTGCAGTGTTAGGTACTCTAATATTGTGTCTTTAGTCATTTTCTTAGTGATCTGAAATTCATTTGGTAAACATTAGATCAGCTCT